TGTTCTTTGCAATTACGTGCTATGCATCGGAGAGTTGGACAGTGAATAGGGATGACAGAAAGAGAATTGATGCCTTTGAGCTGTGGTGCTGCAGAAGAGTGTTGAATATACCATGGACTGCTAGGAGAACAAACAGGTTTGTCCAGGAGAGGGTAAAGCCGGAATGCTCCTTAGAGTCAAGGATTCTGAAGCTTCGTCTGATATACTTTGGGCATGTTGCAAGGAGGGAGGAGGAATTGGTCCTTGGAGAGGGACATCATGTTTGGCAGAGTGGAGGGGCGGCACAGGAGAGGAAGACCTTTGATGAAATGGATCAATTTTGTGCCTGGAGTGGTGGGAATGAGTGTGTTTGAGATGGTGAGGTTGGCACTGAATAGAAAGACTTTTAGGGCTCTTGTACACAGGGTCGCTCGCTATAAGTCGCAAGCGACTCGATGGCACATAACAACAACATGCAGAAGAGATCATTAAGGAGGCTGGACTTTATGAGGAGGAAGGTGGCATCAGGACTAGAGAAAGACTCATCAACAACTTGCATTATGCTGATGACACAACCCTGCTTGCTGAAACTGAGGACCTGAAGAGTTTGTTGCAGAAGGTCAAAGACTACAGTGTTCAGTATGGACTGAAGCTCAACAGCAAAGAAGACAAAGAGTCTCACCAATGAGCCAATATGCAATTTCATGATAGAGAAAAGATCGAGGTTGTTAACAATTTCAGCTTTCTTGGTTCCACAATCAACCCTCTTGACACCAGCAGTCAGAAAATCAAAAGATGAACTGCACTGGGAAAATCTGTTGTCAGGGACCTTTCCAGAGTACTGAGAAGCAAAGATGTCAGTCTAGAGACTAAGGTGCACCGGATCCATGCCATAGTCTTTGCAATTACTTGCTATGCATCAGAGAGCTGGGCAATGACTAAGGATGATAGAGGAATCATTGATTCCTTTGAGTTGTGGTGCTGGAGAGAAAGGTCTTGAACATACTATGGGCCACCAAGAGAACAAACAGATTTGTCCTGGACAGGGTAAAATCAAGTTTCTCCTTAGATGCAAGGATTTTGAAGCTTTGTCATATGTACTTTGGGGAACATGGCCAGGAGGAAGCAGTCTTTGGAAAAGGACATTAACTTAGAAGGGTGGAGGGACAGTGAGTGAAGGAGAGGAAGACCCTGGATGAGATATACTGACACAGTGACTGGGGTAATGGAAGCAGGTGTGTCGGTGTCAATGAGACTGGCTCAGGATAGGGCAGGATTCAGAGTTACTCTACACAGGGTCACTATTAGTTGTAGTTGACTCATTGCCTATTAAAACTGCCAAAAAAAATTATGAAATATCTCACCCGAGTAACAATAGCAAAATTCAATAGAGCAGCAACAAATAATGGTGAGGCTGTGGAAAATGGATCCCATATTCACTGCTGCTGGGAGAGTAAAATGGCGCAACCACTCTGGAAGGTAGTATGATGCTTTCTCAAAAAGTTGGAAATAGACATACCATTTGACCCAGCAATTCCGCTACTAGGAATATGCCCTAAAGAAATCAGAACTGCCCCAAAACAGGTATATACACAGCCATGTTTCTTGCTGTGTTGTTCACAACAGCAAAGAGATGGAAACAACACAAGTGCCCATCAACAAACAAATGGATAGAGAAGCCATGGTATATTCACACAAGATAATACTATGCAGCACTGAAAAAGGACCTAATGAAATATTATCCAAAATGGGGGACCCCGGAGGACATTATGCTGAGTGAAATATCTCAATCACAAAAGGACAAATACTGCATAATGCCACCGTTCTAGAACAGGACTGACATGAGTGTTGAGAGTAAACTAAGAAAAGAGGGGATAAATAAGGTATATTGCATTGAAACAGATAAGGAATAGAACTACTTAAAAAGAATATATGATTGAGTATTGTTTGCATGATAATAGTCCAGATTAAGAGCTGCATAGTAAAATGGACTGGGATTGGGGAAGGGGGGATTATACAATAATGAAAGAATTTTTTTTTAATTACAATTTCAGTGAAAATTTACAGAGACTTTGGATTTCCATTCACTCACTGTTGCACTTTTCTCCCCTCCCAACCCTCTCCCCTAGTACACTACCCTCTTGGAAAAGTAAAAGAAAAATTTTTTCATTGTTTTACAATTCCTCCCCTCAGGTCCACTCCACTGTGTAGCCTTTGCTCTGACTCCTGTCATACCAAAAATACCTAATAATTCTCCCTCTTAAACAGTTTTCTCCCTCATCTGTTTCAATGCAGTATACATTATTGAACCCATCATTCTCAGTGTCCCCCAAACCCCAAGGTCAGTCCTGCTTTACAACAGTGGCACCATTTGTCCTTTTGTGGCTGAGATATTTCACTCAGCATAATGTCCTCCAGGGTCACCAATTTTGAATATTGCATTAGTTGCTTGTTTTTCAATGCAGCATAATATTCCATTGTGTGAATATGCCACAGCTTCTCTATCCATTCGTTTGTTGATGGGCAATTGGGTTGTTTCCAACTCTTTGCTATCATGAACAAAGCCGTGATAAACATGAGTGTGCAAATATCTGCTTGGATGTCAGTTATGGTCTCTTTGGGGTACATTCCCAGTAGTGGAATTGCTGGGTCAAAGGGTATCTCTATTTGCAACTTTTTGAGAAAGCGCCATACGGCCTTCCACAGTGGTTGCACCACTTTACACTTCTACCAACAGTGAATAAGGGTTCCAGTGTCTCCACAACCTAGGCAGCATTTGTTGCGTGTTGTTCTGTTAAATTTTGCAATTCTGACTGGGGTGAGATGATACCTCATAGTTGTTTTGAAAGAATTTTTTTTTTCAAAGAGAAAAGCAAACGGCATAGGGGCAGGGAAGAAAATGGGCAACAATGAATCAATGGAAATCCAAGTTCTCTATAAACTTTCATTAAAACAAAAAAAAAAAAAACCAACCCAAAACTGTGCCAAGAATGCCTATCTTTATTTCTGCATTGTCTACTCCATGTTTTATTATTCCACCAATAGCCATTTCCTCTGCCCCTTGACTTATCACACTTATCGGAAACCTGATGTGTAGACATGCTGCAACAGCCTTGAACAGTGATCCCCTTGCTTCCTCATGTCCTGAGGTCATCTGTCAGAACTATGACATACTGCAGTGCAAGCAAAGGAAAGAGAAAGACGGTAAAAGCAGTCATCTATCGGTTTCTCCATCTTCATTCTGACCTTTGGCTGAGGAGAAAGGCTGATTATAAGAAAAAACTGTGGTAAAAGACTTCTGCAAGGAAAAAATGCTTGAAAAAAAATTTGTGTTCTGCAATAAAACCCAGAGTAAACTGTTCAATAAAATGACAACATCCTCGGGAGCTCTGGTGGCCTAATGGCAAGAAGCTGCACTGCAATTCTAGAGGTGGGCAGTTTGGAGGGACAATCTTCTCCTGTACCAGTCAGATCTTATTTGACAGTACACACACACAAAATAAAATAAAATAAAAAATTACAACACCCTTCTGGAAGAGATTAAACTGGTATGCTGAAGAGCCTTATCAGATGCATCATGATTGTATAAATCTCAGTGTACAGATCTGAAGTTCTGTGATTTCTCATCTGGTAACTATGTGTGCCTATGTTTATGAATTTGCAAAGATGACTGAGTATAAAACCTGATGTATATTGTACCAACTGTTATATGTAGCCCTGTAATACTAACATTAAAACTTCATGCATTAAACATTCCTAGATTTGGTGAAGGGGGAAAAATGTTTTTAAATTCTTTTAGAAAGTTTAGTGATTAGTTCCCGAAGGAGCACGGTTCAAATCCACCAGATGCTCTCCTGGAGAAGGAGGGGCAATCTTCTCCTGTGCCAATCCGATCCAATTCGACGGTACACAAGAAAAAAAAAAGTTAGCGATTAGCAAAAACAAATATGTTGTTGTTGTTGATTGCCTTCAAGTCAAGCATGACTCATAGCGACCCTACGGATAAAAAAGGCTTGAAGTCCCTCTACAACCATCGACATTTGCCTAAGTTCATAGTTTCGAAAGGCATCTTGTTTAGGAAGTGGATGCTACTCCTGCTTTCAAGTATAACTGTCACAAAAGCACTGTGGCATCAGTGTATTTTCAAAAAGTAGGAGTATCTATAGTAGATGTGAGAGGTCTAAGAAAATGGGTTGAAAGGATGGGACTAGGAGGTCTAATGAGCAGTTTCACGTTAATTGAATTCTTTTTTATTAGAAAGAAGGACTTGAAACAAATGTAACAAAAAGGAAAAGTCAATCCCGGTCGCTGGTATTAATCTATTTTTAGTTCTTTAATAAATAAAGAAAAAAGGTACCTAGATGAAAAGCCGTTAGTCTGTGGAGTGGGGAGCTCTGGTTGTCTACTTCATAGGGAATTGCGCTACTAACCCAAGAGCTGTGACTCTGGAGGTTCAAATCCACCAGCTGCTCCCCAGAAGACAGTCCTCCTCCGGCTGTGTGATCTGCAGCCTCGGAAACCCTCTGGAGGGCCAGACAAGGCTCGGTTCCGACTTGGAGCCCAGGCTCTGCGGACACCTGGAAGCCCTGCGAGGAAGGGGATGTGAACGCGGAGGGGCAAGTGCACGTGCCTGGGAACCAAGTGTCCCCTGAGGCCGGCGCGCCCACTAAGCCCTCGCCTCGGACAGGAGCCACGAAGAGAGGCATACACTTGACCGTGGGCCCTGGGTGCGGACAGGGTTTTTAAGAACTGGGGAAGTTTGAAGGGCAATAGGTACCAAAAACGCGGGAAAGGGCATGGGGTCACAAGACGACAGGAAGGGGACGCAGACATGGCGAGGTGCAGAAGAGGACCCCAGAGCGGACAAGCGGACTCGTGGGGGCGCTGGAGCGAGGCAGGGCAAGGCAGGGGGCGAGCCGAGGCGGGGAGGTCCTTCCAGGGCTCCCAGGAGGGAGGCACAGATAGGGGTCATAGCGGCACCGGAAGGCCGGGGACGACCACCCCGCCGCGCCCACACTCACCTCAGCGCCGCAGCCGAGCGGCCGCAGGGCCCCGCCGCTCCGCCAATTAGAGCCGACCGGAAGTGACGCGCACGAACGCCTACACCCGCCCCTTCCAGCCAGCCGGTTGCAGTCGCTGCTTGGCCGCTCTGGGCGCGGCGGCGTCCAAGACTCAGGTTCCGTCGATTAAATAGCAGTGCTGTGAATCTGGGCATTGCGACCACCAGGTGGTCTAAGACCTCGAGTTCACCGGGCAGAGATTATGGCCAAAGGCATTGGTGACCATTTTGATCAAGTTACTATAGTAATTATTTCTCACGGAAATTCTCTGCTGAATCACCCCAACAAAAGAGCAAGGCCTGGGGAACCCCACTCTCCCTTCAAGGCTGTCCGCTCACCTGGGCTAAGTCGATACTTTCTGGTTGAAGCCCATTACAGGATTTAACGCATTGCTCCCGACCTTACAAACGCGCCATGTTTACTATAACGAAAGATAGGGAAGGCCTCTATCCCTAAGAACTCAAATCTATGCCAGGCTGTCTGTCTCATCTCCAGAGCCACATCCAAAGAACATGCAGTAAGTTGTCCTTCCGATGCCTTTGAGCCTAACCCCAATACCCCAGTTTACTGAAGGACGAGCACTGTTCATCTAAGCCAGCCCCAAAGCCGTACAGAGATTGGGCAAAACTCCTAAGTCCCTCCATGCCCTTTCAACCATGCTTGGAAGGCAGTGGGTATTATCCTGTGCATTGGGACAGCAGAGCTGGTAACCTGTAAAAGAGCTGACTGGTCGAACAAGGGCCCACTGAAAGGAATGCTTTCATTGCCTCTATGTCTAACCCACAAATATGCACTATGAGCGATGCATCCTGCCCATGAATATCCTTAGTCTAACCACATCCCATTTGGGAAAATCCTACCCTTCTTTATCCATGTTCCTCTGTGATTCATATGGTTTCCAGAGGTGGATATTTCAGAAATGAATAGCCAATCCTTTTTTTCCTAGTCTATCTTTATCTAAGAGCTCTACTAAAACCAGTCCACCATGGATGAACCTGTCAAGGGGGATTATTTCCTAAAAGGTCCAGGGGCCTCACTGTGTAAGAACTAGAAAGTTCTGACTTAGGTGTGAGACTTTGATAGAACACTGTCACAAAAAGACATCAAGCCAGAGTAAGCAAACAAAACAGTTTTATTAGACATCTGTAATAGAACATCACCTAACAGAGAACTACAAGAAGTACAAGCTGGGTTTAAAAGAGGTCATGACTAGGACTAGAGACATCATTGCTAATGTCGGATGGATCTTGGCTGAAAGCAGAGAATACCAGAAGAATGTCTGTGTTTCATTGACTACGCAAAAGCATTTGACTGTGTCAATCACAACAATTTGCGCGTAACCTTGAGAAAAATGGGAATCTCAGAGCACCTACTTGATAGTGCTCATGTGAAAACTATACTTAGACCAGGAGGCAGTTGTCAGACGCAAGCAAGGAAACACTGCAGGGTTCAAAAATCAAGAAAGGAGTGTGTCAGCAAGTCTCCATACCTTTTAAATCTGTATGTTGAACAGATCATTTGGGAGGTTGGTCTTTGGGAAGAGCAATGTGGCATCAAAATTGGAGGAAGATAGATTGTTAACAAATTCAATCTGATCTAACTTGCTCCGCTCCACAATCAACACTCTAGGAAACAGCAGTCAAAAAAATCAAAAGACAAATTGGATTAGGAAAGTCAGCTGTCAGGCACCTCTCCAGAGTACTGAAGTGCAATGATGTCCGTCTAGGTGTTATTAAGGTGTACCTGGTCCTGGCCATGGTGTTTGTAATTACTTGCTATGCATCAGAGAGCTGGATAATGATTAAGGATGATAGAATTGATGCCTTTCAGTTGTGGTGCTGGAGAAAAATATTGAACATACTATGGACTGCTAAAAGAACAAACAGGTCTGTCCTGGAGTGGGTGAAACCAAGCTGCTCTCTGGAAGCAAGGCTTGTGAAGCTCCATCTCATATACTGTGGGCATGTTGCCAGAAGGTACCGATCCTTGGAGAAGGACATCATGCTCGGAAGGGTGGAGAGACAACTCAAGAGAGGAAGACGTTGGATGAAATGGATTGACTCAGTGACTAGGGTAATGGGGGCAGGTGTCACAGAGACTGAGATTGACTCAAGCTAAGACAGGGTTGGCACCAGCAGTCAGGAAACCAGAAGACTAATTGCATTTGGGCAGTCTGCTGTCAGGAATCTCCAGAGTGCTCAAAGACTAAGGTGCCCCTGATCTGGGCCATGGTCTTCTCAATTACTTGCTATGCATCAGAGCTGGACAATGACTAAAAGGACAGAAAAAAATCAATGCCTTTGAGGTGTGCTGTTGGACCACCAAGAAAAAAACAAAATGGGTCTGTCTTGGAGAGGGTGAAATCAAGTATCTCCTCAGAGGCAAGAATTTTGAAGCTCCATCTCATATACTTTGGGGATGTGGCCAGGGATGACTAAGAAAAGGACATCATGCTCAGAAGAGTAGAGGAAGACCCTGGATGAGATGGATTCACACTATAACTGAGACAATATGATTATTATGCGTTTCCAAATGAGACTGGCTCAGTATAGTTGTTGTGTCGAGTTGCCCGCCACTCATGTACAACAGCTATAAATCCTGCCCTGTACTGAGCCAGTCTGACTCCAACACATTGCCCCAGTTACTCTATCAATCCAGTATATCTAAAGACCCAGTCTTCACCTTGGAAATTGTGACAGCAGAGTAGTACAAAAGAGCAGAAACACTAAATCACAAAACTATAATCGTGGAGCATAAGGTCAGGGACAAGACCCTTTCCCCAGTACTGCCTTAGACAAAAAAAAAATTCCCTGAAGCTGGTACAGAGGATTTGGACATACATCCTCCTAAATACAAGACAGGCATCAGCATAGAGACCAACAGCTGTGTGAGGCACATCATAGAAGTGACTTGTAGCATAAGCCATCAGATCAAGTGGTGGCTGGGAAAGAGTAGCTGGGAGGGATAGGCAGGAATCCAAGGGATGCTGACGTAGCAGGGAAAGGGAAAAGATAAGACACAGGCACTGGGGATGGGGGCAGGGGACAGTGAATGTGTTGGTTATTTCTGTAAGGGGAAGTAACAACAGACTATCAACAGGTCAGAATAGATTTGTCCCTCTTTATCATACATAGCGCTTAAAGATTCTTTCCAGTGAGGAGTGAAGTTAACACAGATTTTGATTAATTTATGATGCTGCAAAGCTTCTGATGGACTTATGGTGGCACTTGAGAAGTATGCTCTTTGGCTATTTTTTTTTAATGAGTCCTTTTTCTTGTTATAGCCCCACAGTGTAACACATCATTGTTAACAGTTTGATTGATTTGTTAGCATAGCATTTCCTTTGCCATTCCCTATCAACCCCTATGGCATGTCACACCGGTGGCATAGCTTTCAGCATCTCAGCACTCACAAGTTACCTCGGTACAATGAGTTAAGGGATGTACTAATTAGAAAAGCTAGATATCCCAATTACAAAGTAATTAATGACATGCAGATACAACAAACTGATATTTAAGTCTCATAATTCAAGATGCTACAAATCTGAAACCTGGTACCTATTACTTGCTGCCATGGAGTACAATTCATTGAAACCCTATGAACAACCTATCGGATTAGTTCTATCCTCACAATCTGACACACTCAAGCTCATTGCTGTAGTCATTTTACCAACATACATGGCAAAGGATCTTCTCTTTTCACAGCCCCTCCACTTTCCCAAGCATTATGTCCCTCTCCTCTGAATCATTTCTCCTAGCAAGTTGCCAGGGGAGAACTTAAGATGAAGCAGCTTCATCCTCCTTGCCTCCAAGCAGCATTCTGGCTGCACCTTCTCCCATACATACCTGTTTGTTTTTGGCAGTCCATGGACACCAGTTCTAGGGGAAGGTTCTCTTCCTAAGTTCTGGAGGACAGCCCTTGTCTCTGACCTTCCACTCCTGGACCACCTTCCTGTGATTTATTGACTCTGCTCTTCCATGCCAGGTGCATGGCTGGCACAGAATGTCCCAGGTGAGGCCTGTTTTCACTGTACCTTGTATGTTAATGCCCCTTACTTGGGCTGAGGGCAGCAGTCATGTGGAAAATACTTTCTTCTGTCACTGCTTGCAGGGCTGAACAAAAAGCCTGGTGGAAGTCAAGGGACTGGGGGATAGAGGAGCGGTAATATTGGCTCCTGGCTGAATAGATAGCAGAGATGGGTGAAAATGTTTTTATGTTGCTGCTGCTTGCTGAGTGAAGACGCCTCAAAGCACTTGCTGCAGACCAAACACTGCAGCCCTCAGTATAGATTACATCTCAATACAAAAATCCTTCCCATTGGACCAATTGTCAGTATTACGACAGATGGAAGATTTACTGTTAACTTCATTTTACTTGGATCCACAATCAATACACGTGGTGCTCAGTAGTCTGTATTTATGTAACTCACCAAATCAAGAAGCAATGTTAGTTTGATGACTAAGGAGTGCCTGATGGTGCCCATGGTCTTTTCAATCTTTGCTGTGCTGAACAACAAACATGACAGAATTTATGCCATTCAACCATGGTGCTGAAGAGTATGACTATCCCGTGGACTGCCAAGGCAGTTTTCTCAAGACAAAGTACAGCCACAAGGCTCCTTATTTGTGCATTCTTGGGGAAGGTCCCAAACCCCTGTCAATTTCTCAATTATCATCTGGCCCTTGGGTCCAGAGATCACCTCATACTGCTCAAACAGGAAAAAAGTAGCAACTCATGGCCAAATCCACTGCACAATCACCCAAAGAACAAGGCCTGTGCCCAATAATTTGTAGTGGCCAACTCTTTTTCTCCAAAATTCTTTGCTTCTGTATCACATCTTTCCTGAACATGTAGCACCTTCCTACAGAACTAGAATTTCTTTTGAAATCTATGACCTAATGGGACGAACAAAGAAAATTCGTTTACAATGAACTTTGTGATTAAACTCAAAACTTTTTTTTTAAATAACACCTAAAGTTTATTAGATGACAGCACACACAGGAAACTCAATAGTCGAGGAGCCTACTATCCGTTCCCAAAGGGATCATCCTAAGAATTGAGACCCAAGAGGCAAACCCCGGCAAAGGCCTGGTCTGCTGGCGTGTCGCTCGCGGTTAAAAGGGCTGCCTGCAGCGGGCTGGGGCCCCAGTTATGCGCAAACTCATGCTCTTGCGCAGCAGCGTAACCCCCGGCACCACGGGGAGACGCGCCGGGGGCTCAAAGGCAGCGCGTTAAACTCAAAACTCTTAACCTCACTTTGTCGTCATTAACAACTCAAGTGATCCTATGACCAGAAAATCTTTGTTGTATCCTCATGATCAAAGGCATATTCAAGCCCACCATGTAAATTGATCTTTTTCTGCTAGGAGTAACCCAAGTATGGAGTGAGGCCTGGCTCTGACACAAGCAGGGTACACTCTACCCTGATTGGAAATGCAGCATTTTGGAAAAGTACCAGGCAGGATTTGTAGTTAGGCAAGATGATAAAGCCAAGTCTGAATATAAACAAGGTATCACCTTTCTCACCCCCAGGCCTAAGAGTAAGAGCAGTCACAGAAATGTGTAACTCAATCGTGGACCTAGTTATCTGTAAGATAGGTACCTTCAAGTTAAGGGTTCAAGGTTAAGACTAACCCTAACTGTTTGCATGGACATTTTCCAGCATTCACTAAGGTGAAGGCTATCATCAATAAGATGGGTTCTAGCTACACATACTTGGGGCTCAATTCCAAAATTAAACAATTTGTACCTTAACATCAAGCCCAGGGACGTTTGCTGTACCCCAACCAAGCATCCAGACACAGCATGACCTTCTAAGCCTCCACCACTTCACTGGTGTCTCCTGGTGAATGCAGCCCAGCCCCAGGAAGACCTTCCCCCTGAGACCATGGAACAGTGCACTGCTATGTGGCAGGAAAACTGGCTTTATTAGGTCCCTAGTTCTCTTTCTCTTGCACAGTTTTGGTTCCCCGGAGCCGCCCAGTCCGACGAGCAGCAATGAGACCCACTTTCCGGCCAGCCGGGGCATCTCTGCGGATGGTAGAGGGCTTTCCAATGTGCTGGTGATTGCCACCTCCAAATGGATGCTCCACTGGCTGTGAGAAAAGAACATAGTGTTAGTGTGGTGACTCCACCTACCAATACAGTGTGAAATGATCTCCCTTTTTAGACAAACCCTAGAACCCTCCCCCCTCCAGGCCCCAAATTCCCACCCATATTCATGGACTCTACTCACGTTCATGGCTACACCCCGTACACGTGGCCAGCAATTCCTCTTTGCCTTATACTTGTGGTAGGCACGGCCTGCCTTCAGGATGGGCTTGTCAATGCGGCCACCACCAGCTACCACACCTGGTGGAGAGTCGGTACCTCAGGGATAGGTGAATGCCCTCCCCCCACCTTGGATACAGCTTGCAATTCTCAGCTAGCTCCTAGCACTCGCCACCATCTCTGCACTGTCAGTTCCAAAGAGATTCAATTGCACAACTTCCAAATAACCAAGTCCCCAAGAACCAAGTCGCCTCATTCCCATTCCCTTGTATCTGGTAAACTGTTGAGTTTCTCCAAGTCCATGTGACCATAACAGACCCTCTCTCAAATCACATGGGAATGCTCAGTTTTCACTATCACTGCATGTCACCAACAGGCCACTCAACTCCCACCCACTACTGCCAGGTTCTGCTACCTCTCACAAACTTTACAAACAAGGATGACTTAAAAAAGAAGGTGGAAGACAAAATTAACAAGCAAATCTGGATTCAAGGTCTTTGCCTCTTATTTCAAGGCTCTACACAAACCTTTGGGAAGACCCTTTTCTGCCAAATCTCACTCAACTCCAGCCTTGCCTGAACACAGATCAGAATCCACTTAAAGTGCTCAAGCAACCGATAAAGTAAGCTGCAGCTCATCGAAGCCTAGCCCACCAGGCGTCCACTCACCCACCACCGCTCTGTTGGCGGAAGAGATGACCTTCTTGGAGCCCGAGGGCAGCTTCACGCGGGTCTTCTTGGTCTCGGGGTTGTGGGAAATGACGGTCGCGTAGTTTCCGGAGGCGCGTGCCAGCTTGCCCCTGTCCCCAGGTTTCTCCTCCAAGCAGCACACGATGGTACCCTCGGGCATGGTGCCCACCGGAAGCACATTACCGATGTTGAGCTGAGCTGGGGGGAAGCACGGGGGTCAGTGTCCCCAGTTGAGGCCTGCCTTCTGACAATCTCCCTGGCAGCCTCTCCCTTCCAGAACGTACCTTTCTTGCCGCAGTACACGAACTGGCCCGTATGGATGCCCTCTGCTGCGATGAACAGCTCTGTCCGCTTCTTAAACCGGTACGGGTCGCGGAAAACCACCTTGGCGAGGGGGGCACCGCGGCCCGGGTCGTGGATGATGTCCTGCGGGGCGAGCCACACACATTAGGCCGCAGTCCCTGCGGGCCGACCCTCCCACAGGCCGTCCGCGCCCGGCGCCCGCACCTTCACGATGCCCTTGATGTAGCCATGGCGCTCGGCGAAGTCCACGGCGCGAAGCCGCGCGGCGCCCTTACGGTGCTTCACATGTGCGCGGAAAACGGAGCCGGCGCCCTTCCTCTGTCCACGGATTACACGGCCCATGGCAGCGTCTAGGAAATGCCCATGGTCAGCGCGCCAGAATTTCCTGCCTGCCCGACTTCCCGAGCCCAGCCCGTCGCGGCCGAACCCGCGGCCCCAGTCAGGCCATGAACCCCAGTGTTCACACAGGCCAGTCGCAGGTTTCTGTGGAACCCAGCACAGCGGATGGCAACGGATACAACAGACGCGCACGACCCTGCACCATCTTACCTCCACACAAGCGGGGCCGAGAAAAGAAAGACAGCCTCCGCGAGCCGCCTTATCTTCCGGGCCGGTGCCTTTCCTTCCGGTGCGCAGTGCACGTTGGGACATGTAGTCCGCGCACCTTCACTAGGCCAATAACCGCGCCGCGTCTGCGCAGGCGCACAGCGAGACCACGCCTCCCGCGCCCGGCTTCATTTCGTGTTACTTGGTAACGGTTCCTGAACGTTTCTACTTCTTAGCTGGGCGGCTAGTTGAGTTGCCGAAGGCTCACTGAAAACTAGGTATTTATTCAGTCTCAGAGACACTTCGGTTTTGTCCAGTGCTAGGTCCTCGAGAGGCTGAAGTGGTCAGACTGTGCTGTGAGTGTGGGGTTAAGAGACCAGGAGCGAAGGGAGGGACGGGGCTCATAGATGAGGGTGGGTTCTGGATGTGTGGAGGGTGACAGATGTCACACTCAGTGGAGAGAATGTGGAAAGAGACACTGAATGAGTGACACGGGCACCTGGGGACACGACAAGAATGACCAGAGTCCTCTAGAGTCCGGAATGGAACAACTGGGCAGGACTGTGGGGTCAGGGCTGGTGTCGGCCAGGACTTTTGAAGGATATCCTAAGGTCAATCATATGTACAAGGGCAACACACTTAAATCAGAAGTAATTTTATCAATCTGGATAGGAGAAATTGGTCACTATTGCTTGCAAGAAACACCTAACAAAGATCCAGTTTAAGAGTTGAGAAACATGCCATGTGAAATGCATGAAAGAAATGAATTCAGGCGGAGAGTCATCTGTGGTAGCTGCAAATTCATATGCTTGTATAATTACTTAAAAACTTGCTCTTTCCCATCGACAAATGAATGGATAGAGAAGCTGTAGTATATCCACACTGCATTGAAAAACAAGGAACTCATGAAATAATCAAAATGGGTGACCCTGGAGGACATTATGCTGAGTGAAATATCTCAGTCACAAAAGGACAAATATTGCATAGTGCCACTGTTGTAAAACGGGACTGACATCAGGGTTAGGAGAAGACTGAGAAAGATGGGATAAATAATGTACACTGCATTTAAAATGAGGGAGAGAACTGTTTAAAAGGGATATGTGACTAGGTATTATTGTCATGACAGGAGTCCAGAACGAAGACTGCATAGTGGAGTGGACTTGGGGGGAGAGATTTTGTAACAATGGAAGAATTTTACTTTTCAAAGAGAAGTGCGAACAGAGGGGGAGGGGTGGGCAGGGAGAAAGTGCAACAATGAATGAATGGAAATCCAAAGTCTCTGTAAATTTTCATTAAAATTAATAATATTAATAAAATTTTCTAAAAACCCAAACTTGCTCTTTTCAGAAAACTGGAGTATTGAATATACCATGGACTGCTAGGAGAACAAACACTTTCGTCCTGGAGAGGGTGAAAGTAGGCTGCTCCTTAGAGGCAAGGATTCTGAGGCTCCATCTGACATACTTTGGGCATGTTGCAAGGAGGAACCAGTCCTTGGAGAGGTACAGCACATGAGAGGAAGATCCTTGATGAGATGGATTGGCTCAGTGACTGGGGTAATGTGGGTAGATGTGTTAGAGACAATAAGGATGACTCAGGAGAGAGCATGGTTTTGAGCTGTTGCTAGAGTCAGCGACTCAGTGGCACATAACATTGGTGTTCAATGCTTCAAACCTAAGATGATCATGAAATTCAGATGGAATTGATTCAAGATCATATCTTGGTTCCTGTGGATTTGTTTTCATTTCCTTGGGCCTCAATTTCAACTTGCATGTGAGTAAAAGATGATCTGACCTACAATCAGCCCCTGGCCTGGTTTTGACTGCTGCTACTGAGCTTTTCCAATGATCTCTTCCACAAATGGAGTCCATCTGATTCCTATGCAGCCCATCAGATGAGATCCATGTGTAAAATCATATTTTTGTGCTTTTTAGAAAAGATATTTGCAATAAATAAATCATTGTGAATACAAAATTAAATCATTGTATTTCAAGCTTCCTTTCTGTCACCAAGTCCATATTTTCCGACTATTGTTCCTTCTTCATTGTTTCCTACTTTTACATTCCAGTCACCAATTATCATTAACGCTTCCTGATTGCATATTCGGTCAATTTTGGACTGAAAAATTCGGTACAATTTCTCAGTTTCTTCCTCTTCAGCTCTAGAAGTAGGAGCATATATTTGAATAATAATAGTGATAAGGGGTCTTCCTTGTATGCACATGGATATTATCCTATCACAACATTGTATTTCAGAATAGAACTTGAAATTGACTTTATGACTATGAATACATCATTTTTCCTCTGTTTTTCATTCTCTACATGGTGGTGGTGGTGGTTGTGTACCATCTAGCTGGAAACGACCCACACCTGACCCTCCAGCAAGTTTTCAGAGGCGGATAATCGCACAGGAGGAAATTGCCCATCCTTCTCCTGAGGAGTAGCTGGTGGATTCAAACAGCTTGCCTTCGGGATTGCAGTGCAGCTTCTTGCCACTAGGCCATTATCTGATTCTAGTGGTCAAAGATGGTTCATCTCATCTCACTAATGCTTCGTATGTCAATATTCATGTGTTCCATTTAATTCTTAATAATTTCCAGTTTGCCAACATTCAAGCTACGTACATTCCATGTTCCAATTGTTAAGCGATGTTTGTTACTGATTTTCCTCATTTCAACTGACTGCCAATCTGGGCTCTACCACTACACTTCTTTCACTATCCTCTTTCTTTAGTGTTCATAGGGTTTTCAAAGCCCTGTTATTTAGAAAGTAAATGGCCCATCCTGCTTCCTGTTGTTGTTGTTGTGTGCTGTCAAGTTGCTTGCGACTCATAGCGGCCCAATGTACAACAGCCCTAAACTCTGTTCTGTCCTGTGCCAATCCCACTGTCTCCAATACACCCATCCTGATTACCCCAGTCACTGAATCAATCCACCTCATAGAGAGCCTTCCCCTCCTGTGCTGTTCCTCCATCCTCCCAAGCTTGATGTCCCTCTCCAAGGACTGGTTCCTCCTTACACCATGTCCAAAGTATGTTAGACGGAGCCTCAGAATCCTTGCCTCCAGGGAGCCGCCCAGTTTAACCCTTTCCATGATGAATCTGTTTGTTTTCCTAGCAGTTCATGCTACCTTCAGCACTCTCCTCCGGCACCACAGCTCAAAGGCATCAATTCTCCTTCTATCCTCCTTAGTCACTGTCCAACTCTCTGATGCATAACAAGTGTTAGCAAAGACCATAGCCTGTATCAGAAGCACCTTAGTCTCCAGAGAGACACCATTGCTCTTCAGTACTTTGGAGAGGTCCCTAACAGCAGACTTTCCCATGGCAATGCGCCTTTTAATTTTAATTTCCTGGCTACTGGTGCCGAGAGTGTTGACTGTGGAGCCAAGCAAACTAAAGCTGTGAACAATCTCAGTCTCTTCACCATCCATCCTGATGCTGCCAATTGGTCCAGTGGTGAGAATCTTTGTCTTCTTGACATTGAGCCTCAATCCATATTGGAGGCTGCAGTCCTTGACCCTCTGCAGCAAGCGCTTCAGGTCCTCCTCAGTTTCAGCAAGTAGGGTTGATCTTCCACCAATCTTGACCCCACATTTCTCCTCATAGAGCCCAGCCTCCGGGATGAAATGTTATGCATACAGGTTGAAAAGATATGGAGATAGGACGCATCCCTGGCGTATACCCTCCCCAATTTTGAACCATACAGTGTTTCCTTGCTCTGTTCTGACACCTGTCTCTTGGTCCAAGTATAGGGTTCTCATTAGCATGATCAAGTGTTCTGGGATTCCCATTCTTCTCAGAGTCAGCCACAGTTTGTTATGATCCACATTGTGTTATTATATCACAGCTTCTCTATCCATTAGTTTGTTGATGGGCACTTAGGTTGCTTCCAACTCCTTGCTATTGTGAACAAAGCTGCAATAAACATGGGTGTGCGTATGTCTGCTTGGATGTCAGTTATGGTCTCTGGGGTATATTACCAGTAGTGGAATTGCTGGGTCAAATGGTATCTCTATTTGCAACTGTTTAAGAAAGTGGCATACTGCTTTCCATAGTTGTACCATTTTACACTCCCACCAACAGTGAATAAGGGTTCTAGTGTCTCCACAAACTCATCAGCATTTGTTGCTTGCTGTTAAATTTTGCTCTTCTGTCTGGGGTGAGATGATATCTCATAGTTGTTTTAATTTTCATCTCTCTTAGAGCTAGGGATTTCGAACATTTCTTCATGTGCTTGTTAGCTATCTGAATGTCTTCTTCGGTGAAGTGTCTGTTCATATCTTGTGCCCATTTTTCTATTGGATTATTTACCTTTATCTTGTTGTGGTGGGTGCCTTCATTTTGATTGGAAAAAGACTTTCCAGATCAAGCATTCTGAGTTGTCACTGTGTGCCTTTGAGTCAGAAAGGGACCCTTCAGTGGGTATTTATAGGCAATAAATTGCACAGAAGAAGATTGTTTCTCTTTCGCAGCGCAGCTAGTGCATCAGCAGCACAATTCCTGTAAAGGTTCTAAAAAGTGATGCTTTTTAGTTATTTTATTAACCACAAAAATGGCACATTGAGACAGATCAACTTACAGAGTTAAAACGATGTGAAGACATGCATACTTACTCAACTATGCACTGTGCGCGGAAATGACAAACCACCAGTGAAACGAGGAGGCGTTCAAGTTTACAAAAATCATTAATTTAAAAAATAGGTTAAGCAAGGACACTAAAGAGAGTGAGCCGTTCTCAGATCCAGCAGTCCTACAGTTAGAAACCTCGCCTGCAGAAACAATTGCGCATGCACGAAAAGATTCTTTTTCAATGCTATCATTTGCAGCCTCTGGACACCCCTGCTTCTCTTCTGGCTGCTGTACACTGCCCTGCCTGCCCTCTGCCAGCCATTTGGACCCGAGTCGGCTGCCTCCCGAAGCCTAATCCAGATGCTTGACCACTAGTCTTTCTGATTTGGAAAAGCTGGCGACTACTTCTGGGCACCAGATACAGGGTTGCCCACCCCACGGTTGCTCACTCCACCCCACCCCACCCCCAACCTCAGTCTACTTCTCAAGGCTGGTCAGGTCTCCTCGGCCAAGAGGCCCACCTACTCCCAGCTCGGTCCAACCCCTCGGTTCTCAGGCGGCGGGGCCGGGACCACCGAGATGGCCGAGCCTCCGCGCCGCCTAGAGAGGCCAGCAGTCCTTCAACCGGTGGGATGCTCGCGTTCGAGGCCCGTTTCCGGCGGCGTCGCGCTCGCTGGCCTCGGGTGATCTGCGGGGAGGGTGAGTCTGCGCGGCGGCGGCGGTGTTGCTGAACGTGGTCCAGGGATCTCCGGCCGCGGGCTAGCGGCCTCCGTCCTTCTGCCTCCGGTGGTTCTGGCCGGACGCGGAGGCCTTCCTGCTCCGCGCTCCCGCGGGCTCGCTCGTGTCCCCCCGGATCATCCCCGAGGAGTTGGTCAGGGGCAGCCGGCGCGGAGGATCGACTGTCCCCGGAGTCGCGGGCTGAGCCTCGCCGCCCTCCGGGCTGGAGCAGGGCGAGCGTCCGCCGCAGCCTCTGCAGGATGACCCTTGAGCCCCAGGGAACCCCTTTTAGGAACTTCAACCCCCACACTATTCCGGGGAGGCCTGGAATTAGGGACCGTGACAAAAGGCGGTGCATTTAGCGGAGCGGGCCATTTCTCCAGTTCTTCGTTCTGTGAATTCTGGCTGCTGTTCAGTGTCTCCCACCCCACAGCTGCCCTCTTCTTGACCAGGCGCCCGGTGGGGGTCCTCCCTACAGTGGACACCGTTGTCTGAGCCAAAAGAGTCCTTAGGGAGTTGTCTTCTTATTGCAATCCCCATAAGGGGACTGGACATGGGTCTGGGTCAAGCGAGTGATCTACATCAGAGTCAGAAATTTCTGGGGTTCACCCTCCTCTTGTTGCCTGGACTTACTGTGTCCATCCCTGTCTTCTCTCCAGCCCATCATTCTGCCTAATGGCTGTTATTTTATCTTCACTGGCACCTCAATGCAGACTTATGTGCACTCCTAGAGAGTCTTCTCGGCTTAGTTAACTCTTTTTTTTTTTTTGCTGTTGTCCATTTAATAAGCCTAGTGGGAGAACTCACAGCCCTGCTGGCGAAATGTTTGCATCAAATTCAGCAGCCTCAGCCAACTTAGAATAAACACAGGGAAGGTTTTGTGGTGGTTTTTTTCTTTTCTTTTTCCTCTTTTTAAATTATTATTAATTTCAATGAACATTTACAGAGATTTTGGATTTCCATTCATTCACTGTTGCACTTTTCTCCCCACCTGCCCCTCTCCCCCCAGTTCGCTCTTCTCTTTGAAAAGTAAAAGAATAAAGAAGCTTTATTAATGGGTCTCCTGAGTGGGATCCCTTGGTCTGGCTTAGTTAACTCTTGTACACCCTAAAGGTCTCCCCATCTTTAGGGAAATAACCTATCAGACTGAGTCAGTTTCCTACTGTAAAAACTTTACATGCTATGCCGTGCTCCTTTGTACATTGGAGTGCCTGGCAGTGAAATGCTTGATAGATGCCTGTGGAGGTCTGTCTCTCACACATAAGCGGATGAGAATGAATGGCACTTTGAGGGAGATGTTTAGGTGGCAGCCCTCCTCCTTTCAGAGGACAACTAGGGTTGGAGGTAGAGGAGTGGGAAATCAAGATCCCCTTCTGTCAGCCTGGATGTGCCGGATGTTTCCAACACTTTGAACTCTGTGAACCCTTCATAACTACACACAGGGCTCTCAACCAGGACGTGTGGACACCAACAAACTTTATGGTAGGAAGCCTGACAGCTCTACCCTCACTTGCTCTGTGAGGACTTCCACTTGCACCCTACACTGGGTACCCTCCTGATCCTGCACCCTGGACACTGTCCCTGCTTGATCCTCACTCAAACCTAGGCCCAGCTGAGGCTCTGTGGGGGAAAGTGTGTGCCATCACCATGGTCTGGCATGAGCAGTGTCTTCAGGCCCACTCATCCCAGGACACAGGGCCTCATCAACCTCAGTGGAAGGATACTGCCTGCAGTGGTGGAAAAGAAGGCAGAGGTTAGACAAACAGTAGCCCTGTGTTAGCCATGTGACTCAGCATGCCACTGCCTTGCCTAGTAGGTGCCTCCAGGCCCTCCTTGGCCACATCTTCGCAGCTGTACTCGTAACTGCAGGCAGCGTGTGTTCACAGTGGTACTGGTCAAAGGGCAGCCTGGTATGTGCACAATCCAGCAAGAGAATCAGAGCCCAAGTATGTGCACACTGAGGCCTCACGATCCTGCCTTCAGCAGCTTCAACATCAGTGAGTGAACCTGGGTGGCCACAACCACACTGGACAGCATATAGAAGTTCACTGATCAGGAACTCTGACAGAACATTCTGCAGTCATGAACACAACTGCTTAACTCAGGAATAAGTTCCATGAACACAACTACATAGAGACCCGTACAGACATACACATGTCATATACACCCATAAAGACCACACTCTGATACCACTTTAGTAAGAAGCAGCACTAGAACAGGTCAGCATGTTTCCAGGGCTGCCCCTGGCTAGGGTTTTACAAAGTCGTGAGTGTGTGGAGGTTTTAGCTCTTCCCAAATGTACTTGAAGTTTCCAGGAACAGACACGAGGGCAGTCTCTTCTGCAGAGCTGGGAGGTACCCAGTGCAGACAGGGAGCAGGGAGATATCCTAATGCAGTCAGAGGGGGGAGCAGAGAGGTGCCCTAGGTCAGACAGAGTTGGGAATAGGGGGGACCCCCAGAGCAGAGGGGGAAGCAGGGAGGTCCTGCAGTGCAGAGGGGAGAGTAGGTAGGTTCCTAGGGCACAAAGTGCAAGGAGGTTCCCAGTATATGCAGAAGGGGAAACAGGGCCCCCAATGCACACAAAAGGGGGAACAGGTAGGACCCAGTGCACACAGAAGGGAGAGTAGGAAGGACCCTCCAGTACACACAGAGTGGAGAGGTGGGGAAGCAGAAAGGTCTCACAGTGCATGCAGAAAGGAGATCAGGGAGGACCCCCCCCCCAGTACACAGAGAGTGGAGAGGTGGAATGTCCCACAGTGTACAGAGAGAAGGTAGTATGGAGGTCCCCCAGTACTGACAGAGATGGGAGCAAGGAGTTTGGCTGCAGAGGTGAGGTGGGCTTAGACACCCATTATCATATTAGAAACTCCTGGAAGCCATGCATGGTCCGTTCATTCTCTAAAGTCATGGGTTCCCCAAGCAGGAAAAAAAAAAAAGAAAGTGGATCAGAGAAGGGTAGGAACACTGTCAGAGGTACAAAGTTGAGGGTAAAAGGGACCAGGCTCTGTAGAGCATCCTAAGGCCTACATGGGTGATATTGGGCTGCCAATGGTCTCTACACCCTAGAAGTACTGAAAAGGATCTCTACTAAGGAGGACCAATATTTTCAAGCTGCTTTACTTCAAAACAAACTAGGCACTGCTGGCTTTTTCAGTAAGGAAGAAAACATCAGCATTGCCACAACCATGCACATCCACTGCCATGCCAAGACCAGCAGGCTGTATCTGGTGTTCCCATGCCCCTGTGCCAGTGGGCTCAGTCCTGGAGTTTGCGGTCACATCTCTTCTCCAGATCTGCCATCTCCTTCAGGACCAGGGCAACGCTGTACCTCAGCTCCTGGAATTTGGCTGCGGGGACCTCAAAGCAGTATGTTGACCCATCAGAGAGCTCCAGCTGCATCAGGATGCTTGGCCGTAGAGAGCGGGCCAGGGAGCTGGTGGAGATGGCCACATTCACTCGCCACCGAAAGTTGGTCACTCGCGGCAGCCAGGCACCCTGGTGTCTGACCACAGAGTCCAGAAGGGGCCGCTGGCTCCCAAACACCACACTAGACAGGTCTTCAGCCAGGTCCTGAGAGATGCAAAGCTCCTGGAGCTGGCTCAGGAAAGCTTCAGGTTTCAAACTGGTCATGGGCAGCCGCAGGGCCTGCGAAAGCAAGGTGTGCACACCTGACAGCAGGATGCCCAGGTGCTCTTCTGGCAGGCCCACGCTGTCCCCAAGGCACTGCACAGCCTCTCGGCAGTCCTCCCCTTGCAGGCTGCTGACCACCAGCTTTAGTAACTTTCTGAAGGTACTCCTGTCCAGCTCGCCCAGGAGCCGGGCCATTGCTGTCACCTGTGGAGGGGTCTGGGGCCCCAGGAAGCTTACCCGGCTACTCAGACTGTCACCAGGAAGATGCATGTATGGGGCTGCAGTCCCCACGACAGACATCCTGGCTTCCACCAGCCCAGAGGGCAGCTCTCAGGTGCTGTTGCCTGGAGGGGAAGGGAAAGGGAAAACTCAGTGATTCCTATGCCAATCCAGCCAAGACATGGGCCCTGCCTTCGGGGCGCTGGTCACTTTGGTGAGTGTGCCTAGGGAGCAGGAGAAAGGGTCACCTATCAAAGTAACTGGTGGTTGAGATGGAAGGGTGAACAGGAGCTAAGGGAAAGGAAAATGGGGCAGAGGGATGACCACTACAAACAGTGGAACAGGCACCCAATTATAAACATGCAGTGGAGAAAAGAAAAATGAGAACAAAGGTCCAGGTACAGGCGACATGGGCACAGTCAGCGCCTCTATGGCCACTACTCACACAGGACAACATGACTTCTAAAGTGTGGCCCTTATAGCAGTCCTGAAAGGGCTGGTCTCTCTGATTTTGTAGATGAGAAAACAGGCTGGAAACAAGACTTGTCAAAGTTGGCCTATCTACGCAAAAGTCGCCTCTGCAGGGCAGTAGACAGATGAATTCTAATGAGCAACCTGTGGCAGCAGGTGTCGTGAGGTATGCAAAGAAAAGGGCTGTGACAGTTTAAGGGGCAGCATGTCAGTCAGGTGAGCGCCCACGCAGGAGTGGACCTGCTCGACCTAACCCACCCGGTGTTAATGTCACCACGGTGTTCATCAAGCCCGGCCCTCCAGGCACAGAGGGTGGGGCAGCCCTGGGGATGCCCCACTGCACCTGCTCTCTGGGGGGCACCCTAGAACACAAGACTCAGAGCAGTCCTGCTGTCCAACTCTGTCCGGCAACAGTTTGCGGCCTGCAGGAGTAGAGCCTGCATCTCGATCGCCACCGCGGGCCTGCAACAAACCCTGGCCACCTCAATGCAGGCTTGGCCTTAGGAACCGCGTCTCTGACAAGTGACTAAGTGGTCAAATAAGCCATCATTGCTGTTATTTCACTCCCATTGGCGCGCGAGCACCCAATTAATTTCTCTTTGGTGGACAAATCTCCAGTTTCTAGGATCTAGGGACGTATCTCCAAGGCAGGGCCAGAATGCCCAGGGAGGGTGACTCCATAGCGCCTACATCCCACCCCTGAACCCTGCCCCCGCGGCCTCGCGTACCTGGCACACAAGATCCAGAGCGGAACCAACAGAAAACAACTTCCGCGGCTCCAAAAAGCGAAGTATTATCGCTCAAGCCGCTCCCAGAGTCACTTCCGGGTTGTTCTAGGAAGCCAAGAGGAAATCAGTGGTCAGCTGGGCTGGGGGGAAGGAGGCCCAGATCCCTCAGGCTAGTCCCTTGTGAGAAAAGGTGGGCCAGCCCCACGACCGGCCACGCCCATCCGTTGAGTACCCGCTCAGGACAGAACACTACATATTCAGCCTAGCGTACTCCGCCCCGCCCTGCACCCACGATAGCACCTGACACGCCCAATCCGGTTGCCCAGCCCCGCCCCGTGCGGCGTGCCCCTCCCCTCTACGCCCCGCCCCGCCAGGCATGCCCCACCCCACCCAATGCGGCGGGCCCCTCCTCCCTATGCCCACCCACCTGCCGGGCATGCCCCGCCCCCCGCCCATTGCAGAGTGCCCCTCCGATCTACGCCCCACCAAGCGTGCCCAGGACACGCCCAATCCAGGAGTATGCCCCGCCCCGCCCAGTGCGAATTGTCCCTCTTCTCTATGCCCCGCCCCTCTCGGCATGCCCCGCCCCACCCATTGCAACGTGTCCCCACCCTAAGCTGCGCCCCGCCCCATGCTACTTGTCCCTCCTCCCTAAGTCCTGCCCCGTCGGCATGCCCCGCCCCACGCGAAGTGAGCTTCCTCTCTATGACCCGCTTCTCCGGACACGCCCAATTCCGTATGTCTCTCCTAAAGGATGGCTGGTGGGTTCAAACCACTGACCTCTCAGGAGCCTAGTACTTAAACAACTATACCTCCATGCTCTAAGAAAGTGCTCTGTGAACATTCCATATTCATAGTTGGATATTATAACACTCTTAGGAACTGAAAGAGTATATATATATATTAAACACACTGTCAAAATGGCAAAACACTACATGATGTCAAAAGGCTGTGGCTGTAGTAAGTTTATAAAAACAGATCATATTAGAGATTATAAAACAAGAACCAATAAATATGAAGAAATTAAATTAATTCAGAATATGGTGAGAAATAACAAGAAAGTAAGCAGGAAACATAACTTATTTAGAAATTAGGTAACACATGCCTAAGCAACCATTGGTTAAAAGGGAAAATGGGAAAAATTTGGGAATATTTTTAATGAAATGATAATAAAACATATATAAAAAATTGTGAGATACATCAGAGTATCCTAATTTTAAATGTCTGTACTAGAAAAGATATAATACTTCAAATCAATGATCTGAGCTTCTACGTATAGAAACTGAAGAACTCCTACAAGCTATTTTGAATGTGTATGTTGTTGTTATGTGCTCTTGAGTTGCCTGCAATTCATAGTCATCCTATGTACAGCAGCTCTGAAACCAGCCCTGTCCTGAGGCAGTCTCACTGATTCTGACACACCAACCCCTGTTGTCCCAGTTACTCTGTCAATCAATCTTCTCTGGGATGTTCCTCTCCTACTCTTTCCCTCCATCATTCCAAGTATGATGCCCTTCTGCAAGGACCAGTCTCTCCTGGCCAAGTGTCCAAAGTTTGAATTTTGGATATATAAGAGTATTTCTGAATAAATTATAATTTTAACTTTAGACAATCAAAAGATAAGAAAATGTTGATAAAAAGACTAGCAATAAACAAGACTTTAGGCAGATCTAGGACAATAACTAAGGTAAAGATATAAGTGATTGTGTTTTCCTGACAATGTAAAAACAAGGCAAATGCAAACCAATCTACTGCCATCAAGTCGACTCTACCTCTGTCCTACAGACAGAGTAAATTCCCCAAAAGGGTTGTCAACTCATAGCACCCTACAGGACAGAGCTGTTGTTTTTGTGTGCTGTTAAGTCTGAATCAATCCATAGCTGATCCTCTAGTGGGTTTTCAGAGACAGTAAAAAACACAGGAGAATCCTTCTCCCACTGAGCAGCTGGTGGATTTGAACTGTGTGTTCTTGGGGTTACAGTTTCTTGCTACTAGGTCACCAGAGTTACTGGAGGACAGAGTTGTTGTTTTTGTTGCTATGTGCCATCGAGTCGCCTTGCGACTCATAGTGACCTATGTACAACAGCCCTAAACTCTGTCCTGTGCCAATCGCATGGTCTCTGACACACCCATCCAGATTACCCCAGTCACTGAATCAATCCACCTCATAGAGGGCCTTCCTCTCCTGCGCTGTCCCTCCACCCTACCAAGCATGATGTCCCTCTCCA